CTGATGCCACCATGCTGCTGGGCTCTGCCCCACTCCAAGATGTCCTCCCACCAGCAACACCTGCCATGTGACTCATTCTGCAACCCTCACCTGGAATCAAAGTAGTTCTCCACCTTGGCTCCACTCCATGCTGCACCATGTCCTCACAAAATATATTTTAACAGCTTATGAAATTATTTACATACAGTTATATAGAAATCACACAGTACAAGATGTTAAGAAAGTAATATTATGTACACTAATTGTATAAACAAAACTGTCACATCATTTGGAAAATATAGTTTTGCAATGTAATAATACAGATAAATGACAATTGAAAGAAAAATTAATTGTATGATTGCTATTGTTAGCACATGGCTTTCAGCTATCTTTTGCTTTTGGCTTATATATTATTCTGAGTTATGTTTAAAATGGGAAAAGATAAAGAAAAAGAAAAGCTTTTGCTTTTGCTTTACAATGGTCTGTTTCAAAGTGATTTTGTTTAGGCTTTAATGTTTTTTCAGTGATCTAATCTCTACTATTTTTTTAACTGAAACATCAAACCATATGATTTGATGTGGGCCAGCCATGGAAGCTTCTAAGCAAACATTTATTTTTGTTAGCCGTGTATTAAAATTTGCCAAACTTGTAAAGATAAGTCTAAATGGCTGCTGAATTTCACTTAACAATTTCTATTACTTTTCCATTTGTAGCTCCATATTCTGACACCCCTGACTTTCTCCCCTAACTTAGAGCCTGGAGAAGTATGTGTTGGAGTTACAGTCAGGGGACTTTAAAATATCAGTGTTCTCATCTTTTTGGCTGTTTGGAAAAATATAGCTGAATCTAGAGCAAAATCCTGATACTTGAATTTTTCAATTTTCTGAAATCCACAGTTGAAAGTACATTTAGGATATAACATTAACTCTATTTGCTTGACAATAAATAGATTTAGAAAGAAAATGTAAAATACGTTTCTTTCTAATGAAATACACAATAGGCAAGAAATATTAAAATGCATCAACCATAATTATGATGAAGATACTAGAATAGATAAGGTAGTTTTTTTTTTTTAATTTTTTAAAAGATTTTTTTCCAAAACTGTCACATCTGTAGAGAGATAAGGTATTTTATTTTGTTTGCTAGTTTGTTTTAAAGATTAAATATATTATTTTAATGATTGCAAGAAACCTATATACTGTAAGCAACAGAAAGCAAAGGTATTTTTCTTTAATTTCTGTGTTTACAGCTCATGACAACAAAGTCTTAGGATTCTCTGGGGGCTTCATCTCCACAGTCCCAGACTCAGAGGAGAAGGCAGCAAGGGCATGGGGCTCAGCTGCAAGACTGGTCTCTCCTCAAGGGAAATTCTAACCTCCTTCCAAATACGTTGCCAGTTGAGACATGTCATTCATTGATTCATTTGTTCAGTTCAAATGTGTAAAAGTCAGTCAATGCTTTTAAAGCAATGGGAAAATATATAACACCATTTTAGCATTGATTGAAACCATGAATGGGTTTATAAAAAGATAAGAATGTTTTGAATTAAATTATGAGCATGAGGAAATTCTGACCAAGGGGCTAGGGTTTTATCTCAGCAGTGTAAGTGCCTGCTTGGCAAGCGTGAAGTTGTGAGTTCAATTCCTGACTTTTGGTGAGTTGCTTTAATATTAGATATCTTTTTATTTTTAGAACATGTAGATTGAGATAAATAAAACTTTGGGAGAGGGAAAAACATCTATGATCAGAGAAAGAGAAATGTCTGCTAAATTCAGCTGATGGTTCATATTCCAGGTATTAAATGATAATTTCTTTGTTTCTTGTATTTTTTATGTGACCTGGAAACTTTTTGAGATACATTATGTGTTTTATATGAAATGCCATATATAAGTTTGATCCTCATAAAACTTAACAAATTGAAGAAATATAAAATGATGCAAATATCAATATACATATAAAAGGAAAGCATATGTACTTTTAATAAAAATTCCATAATAAGTGTTAGGAAGAAAAACAAGTGACAAATGTGTTACTTACATTTTCCAAAAACTTTTCTTGCAAGAGGTGTATAGGGAACATTCACTGAAATGAGATATGATATGAAATACCAGAAGAGAAATGGGACCATTTCAATGGATTCAAAAACCTAAGCTATTTGTTTTTTTCATTGAGTACCATTTTGCAATATGGATATGAATTGACAAATCAACTTATTTTCATTTTATCAAATATTATAGGATTCTTACAGAATAGTTTCATTTTGATGAGTTTTATAATGAGTGCAGTCAAACACACTTTTTATTCAAGTTTAAGAATTTGTGTTGCTGTTTCACAAGCTTTATAGGAACACTTCATCACAACTTCTGGTAGAAGCAGGAATAAACAGGGAAGGACAATTTGATGTTTTTGTGTTTTTCACATTCAGTCCCAACTGAATTGACAATGGCAACAATGTGTGACTGTGGAATGAGCAGAAAGTATCAATCAGGGTGGGAAATGTAGCAATGAAACAGAATTTTAGAGAAGGAGGAAAATCAGTGGAAGTTTGAATTTAAGACAGTGTCAATCCTGAAACTAACAGGAGTTAGAATTCAAATGCCAACCCATTTTTTTCTTTTTATCCAGCATTATAAACATTGATTTAATTTATTTATTAAAATCCAGTAATTTTCCCTGCCTCTTAGTTTGGTTAGATTCAAAGTAAACTAGGAATCAAAATTTTATTTTAAAAATTCTGAAATTGTATTTTAGTGCCAAGAACCCTGGGTCTTGCCTCAATGCTGTGGAGGGACCAACAAAACAAAATGAAAGAAAACAAAATAAAACCAAACCAAATCAAAACAAAACTACAATTATTTTCAAAAATTAACACCATAGTGTTGTTTTAGCATTTGTTTAGTTATATTCTGTTTTTTAAATAATTTGTGTGAAAGGCAGTGTTTGCACTCCAATTGAGTCTGAGATAGGTAAGGAAGGAAATCATATTTGTCCTGAATCTTCCACATTGCTCTGCTTCCACAAAAAAGTATTCATTTAATGCAATGTGAATGCTGTTCTGGAATTCTGATTATACAATGTTTTAAAAAAGTTTATCAGTTGCTTGCGTTGTAATGGAGCATAGAAAAGTGGGGCTGTGTTTACTGACAACTGGAAATATTAATGGAAACTGAAGTTAGGGAGGATTTTAGGCAAATGGAGAGCCCTGATTAAGAAAACAAGTTTGGTTAAGGCATCAACAAGTTAGGGGAAAAATCATGCAGGCAACAATGGTAAATTAGATAAAATATGAAGTGGACCTCAAAAGCAGTAATAAAAACACAGTTCACAAATTTATCAATACATTCTGAATTTGTAAGCAAGAGGATCATGACTGATCAGTAATTCACAGACAAACTATTATATGGGAGGGAATTGAGCTAGAAATATTCATTTTAAAATTTAACTAGTAGTTATATATTGCAACAAACTGTAATTTCCTGCAATCATCACATCTTGTCTTGGATAGATTTTTCCTGCCATAGTGAGTCTACTTGAGAGGGAGAATGAATATTCTCCCTAAAATAAGATTAAATAAAATATCTTAAGATATTTGAAAGTCTATGAAATTATAAGAGCAAGTCATTCCATTTATTTTTTGAATCAAAAAAGAAATATTTCAATTTAAAACCAAATGATATAAATTCAAAACTAATACAAGGAATTTTAAAACACACATTTAAATGTAAAATTGAAATGAGTGGTACTGTGGTTTATTTCAATGATTAGGTTGAAGCACGTGCTTTCAGATGTGGGAAAAGAAAGTTTATTTTTTAAAAAAACTGTAAAATTGTTGCTGATGGAAATTAAGAACAAGACTTGTGAGAACTTTGAAGCATTCTGTGCTCTTAAATTGTACTATTTCTTTAAGAATTTCATTTTCCAGCTTTCCAGGAAATCAATTAGTTATGCTAAGGGTGAATGTACTCTTACATAATATTACAGGAATTCTGCCTCTAAATCAACTTTCAACACTTACTAACACAATTAATGAGGCTTGCTTTTAGGAGCTTCAGACTTTACTTCAAAATTCCGAGCCAGCATGGTATATCACAATAAAAATACTGCAAATACTTGATGATACGAACACAAGCAAATATTAAACATCATTTGCAAGGGTTCACCAAGTCTTCTATTTAATATGCAATGTGATACTCTGCAACTAGGATTAGTAGAGGCAGATTTCACCAGAAGACTGAAAATTCAAGCCCAGCCTGGACAATCTGGAGACTTAGGGAGAACTTGTCTCAAAATATACGATAAGAAAATAAAGTGTATCTCAATACACTTTAAAGTGTATCTCAATCCTCAATGCTGAAAAAAAAACTGCCTTTAAAATGTTCCTCAGAACATCACTTCATATGAATCATGTACATGAATGATAACGGAGATATATTGGAGAATACAATTTTAACAACATAGTATTAAATCAAATTTTTGATAGGACGAGTTAAAATTTTTCTTATGTGGATATTTTGAGAACTTGATACTTGACTACATGTGATAGCAGGTAAAACTCCAATCTATCAATATAGAACATTGTCTGACAGTATATATTCTTATCCCAAAGTATTGCAATGTATGCATAGTTGCAATTTAAAATCGTTTAGTACTTCCATGGTCTCCTTTGATCTGATTTATCATATGAGTACTATGACTGGGACAACAATTGTCTGATTTTCCTTTGTCTCATTTTATGTTAAATATTTTATTAGGAGACACTCTGAGTATCAGATAGATTTATATATAATTTGCGTATAATATTAGTGTTGATAAATACTACCAATTTGTTCCAGATAAGAAGAGGGCAGAGTGTCTAACATCACTTGTGAGTGAGTGGCCATGCAGGACTCCAAGGGGAATCAGAGCACTAGGAAAGGGAAAGTAACAGCCTTGCTCATCTCCAAGGAGTCCTGCTTCACTTTCTACTATTTAACAAGTTCTATTTCTGCTATGCAACTTTCTTTCTTTCTAAATGAAGAATCATGGCACATGAATGGGGAAATCACAGCTCTGTGCCTTCATTCATCTTGGTGGGATTCTCAGAATACCCACCCCTCCAAGCACCCCTCTTCTTGGTGTTCCTGACCATCTACATTGTGGCTCTCCTGGGGAACTTGGGCATAATTCTGGTCAGAAAGATCAACCCCAAGCTTCAAACACCCATGTATTTTTTCCTAAGCCATCTTTCCTTTATAGATATTTGCTATTCCAGTACAAGTACCCCCAAACTGTTAGAAATCTTGGTTATGGAAAACAAAATCATCTCCTTCAGAGGGTGCATGACACAGTTTTTCTTTGGCTGTGCGTGTGTGATTACAGAGATGTTTATGCTGGCAGTGATGGCCTATGATCGGTTCGTGGCTGTCTGTAACCCCCTGCTCTACACAGTTGCTATGTCCCCTAAGCTCTGTGCTCTCCTTGTGGCAGGAACATATACGTGGGGTGGACTGTCTTCCTCAATAATCACATATTCTCTTGTGCAGCTGTCCTACTGTGAATCTAATATCATAAATCACTTTGGTTGTGAGTACTCTGCTGTCCTCTCAGTGTCCTGTTCAGACTCCTCCTTCAGCCAGATGGTATGTTTTGCCATTTCCACCTTCAATGAGGCTTGCAGCCTCCTGATCATCCTTGCCTCTTATGCCTTCATAGTCATCACTGTTATCAAGATGCCCTCCAAGGATGGACTCCAGAAAGCCCTCTCTACTTGCACCTCCCACTTGACTGTCATCAGCATCTTCCATGGCATCATCCTCCTTCTATACTGTGTGCCCAGCTCCAAGAGTTCCTCCCTACTGGTCAAAGTGGCTACTGTATTTTATACAGTCCTGGTCCCCATGCTGAATCCACTCATCTACAGCCTTAGGAACAAGGATGTGAAGGAGACCATCAGGAAATTAATCGGCTCCAAACTGAGTTCTCAGTCCACATAATTCAAATTTGTGTTTGTCTTAATTATATCTCACATTTTCAAGTACTTTATCATTTGTACTTTAGCTTTCAGTGAATTTTCATGGTAGTGTATTCATTTGAAATTAAAATTTGTGATAGATTTCAATGTTTAGAATGACATATTTTCTCTGGCTTGATATATTCCAATGCACTCATCAATTTCATCTGAGCTTCAGCACGAATTACATTTCAACATCTCTCCTTTGAACACTTTGGAAGAAACAATGAGGAAATGCGGATATAGGAGATCACCCCTTATATTATTGGTTTGCTCTAAATTGTGCTTGATGAAACTTTAGAGAACACAAATGATAGCTATATATTTGTGATATTGACTATATTCATACTGAGGACTGCAGATCTCATAATTTAATAAGAAAATTCTAGAAAACATTCATTTTGTTTTAGTGTAATGGTGTATTTCAAATAAAATGAAGCCCTTGACCTTTAATTATGAAAACATGGCCTCAAATTCAGGGAACCAAGTTTGAAAACACCAGCACTACTTTTATGCATCACTCAGTTTTTTCGTATATTTCTATAAACTGTTGAAATACTAATCATGGAAAAATTCAATTTGATATAATTTGTAAGACAAATAAGTATTATTTGACATAATTCTTATGCCAATTATTTACTGACACAAAACCATAATCATTAAATTTATTTCTTTTCAGCAACTGACATTTACATCCTCATAGTTGCTATAACAGAGGAAAAAGTTTTATATATCAATCCATTGCTTCTCACAAATATATCATTTTCTTATTGTTCATATATATATATATATATATATATATATATATATACACTAGCTCATGTTTTTATTCAAAGAGCTACAAAATATAGTTGAACTAGGGTAGTTAAACAAAATTAACTTTTTCTTTTCTTTTAATTTTATTTAATGAAAAAAAGAAAAAAAAAACAGAAAAAGGGTACAAGTTATACAGAATTTCAGAAAAAAATAAACAGTAGAAAATCACTAGTTAATTACATATTGTCATCTTAGAAATAGTTGTTGAAGTTACAAAATAAAAGCATATAGAGGGGACTTTCAAACAGTGAGACTGCAAACAGTTTTGTTCAATGATCCAACAAACTCAGTAATATAGTTATCTATCTTATACACTTAAATATATATGCAATTATATCTTTTAGAGAACTTTCTTTTCCTTTCTTTTGTACAATGATAATTACTCATTTTGGGTTTTATTACTCCCACAGTTCTTATTACTTTTTTTTTTTTTTTGAAGAAAGTAAAACCAAATGTGACATAACTAGACAGAGTCAATCAAATCAAAAGGATGGACATAATACATAATGTAAAAACAAAATACAAGGTGATCAACAATGGTTACCATAATGCCTCTTGTTATCTTAAAAAGAATTGCCTCTATCATCAGTTATAATAAAATTGAACAAAACAGTAAAGAATAAGACCAATAAAACCAAAACATTGGAGACATTAGAGGACTTCAAAAGAAGATAATAGTCAACCAGAATGGGTGTCACAATGAATCTTATTGTCTTCATAGTTGTTGCCTATACTTTGAAACTTGGTACTATCTAGCATAACAGAATAGAGGAAAATCAGTCAAAGCAAGATGGTGAGAGCAAAACAGAGTTTCCAATCAAGTTAATAGGAAACCAAAGTGGATTACTATAATATATCCTGCTATTTTTATTTATTTTTCCCTTAATTAAAAGGATAAAAATGAAAAAGTAGATAATGAAAAGATTGAGATAAAAAAGAGGGCATAACAACAAAACAGTGCAGGTCAAAACATAGCCATTTAAGCAAAATAGTGTTTCACCACAGGATAATCTCGACATAATAGTAGTTACCATAGTGTCTCTTCCCTTAAAATCTTTGGGTATAACTTCATATACTGTAGCATCAAATATATCAAGACAATATAAAACCATTCAAGAGAATGACAGTATTACAGGGTATTTAGAATCAACTAACAGAAAATGAACAATGGTTTCTGTATAATCTCCTTGTCTACAAAATTAACTTTTTCATTTTCTCTAAAATTCTATAAGTAAATATAGATCATCTGTTGCTTTATTTTAAATATGTTTTTCTCTCCAAATTATGTTAGCTGTTTCTACGTTATATACATACATATATATGAATTAATTTTTCATAAATATGAATCTAATTTCTAGTCTTCACTTAAAATTTAAAACATAGTTTTAAACACTTATTAAATAAATTTTTAAATCCCAAGTAGACCAATAGATAGAAAATTCTTCTCCCCTAAAATAACTTTCCTTCAACTTTCATAAATAGTGAAAATAAGATTGTTTCATATTAATACCCTTGTTTATCTACAGAGTTTTCAACCTAAAAATATTGATCACTAAATGTCACTTTTTCCTATTGACCAATAATAGTAGGAAATATTTTGGTGCTTTTTTTTTAACTTATAATGCTTTATAAATTACCAGTATATCTTTACTGAAACAATATATTTTATTATGAATTTAATGTTCTCCTGTTTAATACTTCATTACATAAGTATACCATATTCTATTTATATTCTTAATTAGTGTGATTATTTTGAATTTTTAATTTTTTGGTGTAGTGTACATAATTATTGTTGGACAATGCATAATTACTTATTAGAATGAATTTGTGTGTGAATACTGTGCATATATTAGCTCTCAATTTTGCAAAATTATTGTATTAACTTACATGTACAAAAAATAAGTTTGAAAATACCAAAATTGTGCTGTACATCCTGTAGTTCAACATTTAGTATTTTCATACTACATCACACTTACTAATTTTCTAATTATACAATATATCATTGAAGCTTTAATTTTGATATTTATGATTATTTTTCTAAGGAACTCTTTTAAAATGTTCATAAATTTGTTTCTTTTGTGATAACTTTATATATGACTTTTGAATTTATAATTATGTAAATATTATATATATATAATCTATTGGTCATGTGTAATAAAATGTTTTGATGTTTTCCTTTATTTTTATCTAATTTACTTTGATAAAAATAAATTCAGTTATCTTAATCAATTACATTACTTTTCTAATGATTTTTAAAATGATTATTCACATTTACCTATATCTGAATTCAAAAAGACATTCTTCTCTGTTAAATTCAAGACTTCACTGTTGTTTTTCAATTCATCATTGTAGAAGGTGCCTGGGTTGGGACTATGATAGTGTGTTCTTGTTTGGAATTACTGTGCTCTTGTCAGAGAGAACACTCTGTGTTCTTCCTGTAGGCTGACAGAGGGTTTTCTTCAGACAATGCAGAATGAGTGAATTTGTAGTGAGTCACATCTTGTAACCCTTTAGAATCATGACATTCAGCTCAATGGTGTAGTTGCCATTCAGGAGAGAGGGTCTGACTCACTCACAGGTGTTTAGAAACATTCAGGAAGAACTCAAATATCTAGATATCTGTCAGGAAAAAGGGAGATTTAGAGCACTTATTTTTTATTTGGCACAATAGTCGTGCTAACATGGGTAACATCTCAGAACTCATTTCACTCATTTCCAAAAGTTTCATAGGGACTGCTCCCAGTGATGATTTTACTATGTTTCTTATGGAGACCTGTATGATCATATTTAAATACCAAAGAAATAGTGATGATAACTATCCATTATAAAAACACAAGTATAATTAGCCAAGCTTTGCAAAACACAATTTTTCCCCACAAAATAGAGTATTTCCTTTTAGTGCTACTATAGAGATTCTACAAGAAAAATACATCATATATTCAAAAATACTATTAATTGTCTCACTGAAAATGCATGTGTGTTATGAATTGTAATAAATGTGGAGATCATCAAAAAGGAGTTAACCAAAACACAATGTAAGATATATATGCATTGTGATAAATTAATTTAATAAACAACCAAAATAAAACTCTCAGATTTGGCTATAAGTACTTTTTAAAGTTTGGAAATTTTATATTTTTAATATTGATTTCAAGTGTATTGAAATATGTAGATTGATTCTAATAAGTTGATCATGCTTTTGAAGGAACAGAAAATTAACAAATTCCAATTTCACACATGGGCTTGATAATTTAGAGTAATTATTTAATGAATGAAGAGTGAAAAATTTTCTCTCAATTTTCTGGTGTTTAGTTCACAGCAAACACTCAATCACAGTTCTCTGAGGTGTAATTCCCCAAGCTCAAGAACTTGATGTTAAATTAACAACATAAATTTTTCTCTGAGTCTAACTCACCCTTGAGAGACTCACTAAACTACACAGGATTGTCATTCATAAGACATAATGTTTATTTTGTTAGTGGCTTAAATAACAATTTGAATAAAACTCTCATTGCCTAATTATAAACTAGAAAAAATTGGATACAATGTTATATTTTTATAAATAATTATAAATATATTTTTAAATCAAAGAAGGGTTCATTAAATAAAGATAAGAATAATGTCTGATTTATAATGAATTATTAAGTATTTTATTAACATTTGGCATAGAAAAATCTGAAATATAGCATCTTGTAGAGTATCACCTCTGTGAACCTCCTGGCAATGATATCTCATTGATCGAGAACAAATGTACAAAATATTGTATCTCTTTTATGAATCATAAAGAATCTTGCCAACATTTTACCCTTACAGTTCGTTTGAGAATTGTAAACATGTTTGATAGTTTGGGGAAATAACAACTTCATATTAATGATCCATTCTTACTTTTAGAAATAATTTCAGGCATCATTTATTTTAAAATATGCAACCCTAGGTAAATGTAATGAGGCTTTATAATAACTTTTATTTTAAAGTTGTGCTGGTGGAGGCATAATTTTGATGTCTATATATAATCACCAAACTTGTTGAAAGTATATGGCTAGGAATTTGATATTACAATTTGAAATAACTGTAATTTATTCTGAAATAACTGTAATTTATGCACAAAGGGCAAAATAATGACACAAAGTGATATGATTGTCAAATATGTTAAAGTTCTAGAAATAT